ATCTGGGCTCTCTGTGCTGTTCCACTGATCTATGGGTCTGTTCTTGTGCCAGTACCAAATTGTTTTGGTTCCTGTGGCCTTGTAGTAGAGCTTGAAACCAGGGAGTGTATGTAATCCCCCCAGTTTTGTTCTGCTTTGGCTATTCAGGGTCTTTTGTGGTTCCATATGAATTTTGGAACTATCTGCTCTAGTTCATTGAAGAATGCTGTTGGTATTTTGATAGGGATTGCATTGAATCTGTAAATTGCTTTGGGCAGGATGGCTGTTTTGACAATATTAATTCTTCCTATCCATGAGCAGGGGATAGATTTTCATTTATTGGTGTCTTCTTTAATTTCTCTCATGAGTGTCTTTTAGTTTTCAGAGTACACGTCTCTCACATCCTTGGTTAGGTTTATTCCTAGGTATTTTATTCTTTTTGATGCAATGGTAAATGAAGTTGTTTTCCTGATTGCTCTTTCAGTTAGTTCATTGTTAACTCTATAGGAATGCAGCAGATTTCTGTGTATTTATTTTGTATCCTGCAACTTTGCTGAATCCAGTTTAGTTCTAATAGTTTTTTTTTTTAATGGAGCTTTTAGGGTTTTCTGTATAAAATACCTTGTAATCTGCAAATAGTGACAGTTTAACTTCTTCCTTACCAATCTGGGTGCCTTTTATTTCTTTGTGTAGTCTGATTGCCATGGCTAGGACCTTCAGAACTATGTTGAATAAAGTGGTGAGGGTGGACATTCTTGTTTTGTTCCTGATGTTAGAGGAAAAGCTTTCAGCTTTTTGCTATTAAGTTTGATGTTTGCTGTGGGTTTGCCCCGTATGGCCTTTATTATGTTGAGGTACTTGCCCTCTATGCCCATTTTGTTGAAAGGTTTTTCATGACTAGATATTGAATTTTGTCAGATGCTTTTTCAGCATCTATTGAGATGATCATGTAGTTTTTAATCCTCCTTTTTGTTAATGAGGTGTATGATGTGGACTGATTTACGAATACTGATCTTTGCATCCCTGGAAGAAATCCCACTTGGTTGTGATGGATGATCTGTTATGATGTATTTTTGAATGATCTATTAATAATTTCTTGAGGATTTCTGCATCTATGTTCATTAGGAATATTGGTCTAAAATTTTCTGTTTTTGTAGTGTCTCTGGTTTCAATATTAGCGTGGTGCTGGCCTCACAGAAAGAGTTTGGAAGTATTCCCTCCTCTTCTTCTTTTGGAATACTTTAAGGACAGGGCTCTTTAAATGTTTGGTTGAATTCAGCTGTGAAGCCATCTGGTTGGAATTTTGTTGGTTGGGATATTTTGAATACTAATTCAGTTTCATTACTGGTAATTGGTCTATTCAGATCTTCTGTTTCTTCCTGGGTCAATCTTGAAAGGTATTTTTCTAGGAATTAGTCCATTTTTTCTGGTTGTCCAGTTTATTGGCATATGATCTTCTGTGAAATTCTCTAATAATTATTTGTATTTCTGTGGTATCTGTGACTATTCCTTTTTTGTTTATGATATTGTTTATTTGTGTACTCTCTCTTTTTTTCTCCATAAGTCTGACTGGGGGAGTTGTCTATTTTGTTTTATCTTAAGGAACTAGTTCTTGGTTTTGTCGATTTTTTTTTTCATTTGTTTAATTTTTCTCTTTTTATTTATTTCTCTGATCTTAATTATGTCCCTTGTACTAATGTTGGGTTTCATTTGTTCATTTTCTAGTTTCTTTAGTTGTGAGTTTAGACTGTTTACTTGGGATTGTTCTTATTTCTTGAGGTAAGCCTGTATTGCTATGTACTTCCTATTTAGAACTGCTTTTGTATCATCTCACAAATTTTGGACTGTTGTATTTTGTTTCATTTCTCTCCTTGTATTGCTTGGTTTCTATTTTGATTTGTTCATTGGTCCATTGACTGTTTAGAAGCATATTGTTTAGCCTCCTTGTGCTTGCAGGCTTTTTTAATTTATTTCTAGTTTCATACCATTGTGGTCTGAGAAGTTGCTTGATACAGTATCAATCTTTTTAAATTTATTGAGGCTCTTTTTGTGCCCTAAATGTGGTATATTTTGGAGAACTTTCCAGTACATTTGAGAAAAATGTGTATCCTGCTGCTTTTGGGTGGAGTGTACTGTAGATTTCTGTTAAGTACATCTGATCTATTGTGTTGTTTAGTGCCTCTGTTTCCTTATTTACTTTCTGTCTGGTTGACCTCTTGATGTAAGTGGCATGTTAAAGTCGCCTAGGATGAATGAGTTTCAGTCTGTTACCCCCTTTAATTCTATCAGTATTTGTTTTACATATTTAGGTGCTCCTATGTTGGGTGCATAGATGTTTATAATAGTTATATTCTCTGTGGAGTGATCCCTTTATCATAATGTTATGTAAAGCCCTTCTTTGTCTCTTGTTGACTTTCTTCATGTTGAAGTCTAATTTGTCTGATACAAGTACTGCTACTCCTACTTTTTTCTGCCTTTTATTTGCATAAAGTATCTTCCATCCTTTACTTTTAGTCTGTGTATGTCTTTGGGTCTGAAATGAGTCTCCTGTAGGCAGCATAGAGATGGGTCTTGTTCCTTTATGCATTCTGCCACTCTGTATTTTGATCAGTGCATTCAATCCATTTACATTTAAGGTAATTGTTGATAGGTATTTACTTATTGCCATTTTATTCTTTTCTGGTTGTTTTTGTAGTTCCTCTCTGTTCCTGTCTTCTATCTCTTATACTCTTTTCTCATTCCTTGATGGTTTTCTTTAGTGTTGTGATTGGATTTCTCTCTTTAAATTTTTTGTGTATTTATTATAGGCTTTAGGTTTATGGTTATCATAGGTTCATGGATAGCTTCCTAACTGTATAACAGTATATACTGAGTTGATGATTGCTCTATTTCAAACACATTCTAAAAGTACTTTTTTCTTCCTTTTCTTCATCCACACTTTATGATTTAGGTTTCATAATTGCATTTTCTTATGTATTATGACTGATTTTGTGTATAGTTGATTTTTCTTCCTTTGTTTTAATTTATACTTTCTTAGTAATTAGTCTGCTGCCTCACTGTGGGTTTATTTTCACTGGTGAAAACTTTAGACTTAAGAACATTTCCATCTACAGAAGTCCCTTTAGCCTGTCGTGCTGGTGTAGTGGTTACAAATCCCTTCAGTCTTTGTTTATCTGGGAAATGTTAAAGCTCTCCAAATAAGAATGATAATCTTGCTTGATAGAGGATTTTTTTGGTTGAAGATCCTTCTGTTTCACTACATTAAATATTTCATGCCACTCCCTTCCAGTCTGTAAAGTTTCTGCTGAGAAGTCTGCTGGTAGCCTGATGGGGTTTCCCCTATAAGTAATACTTTTTCTCTCTCTGGCTGCTTTCAATACTCTCTCCTTATCCTTTATCTTTATCATTTTAATTATTGTATGTCTTGGTGTTGTCTTCCTGGGGTTCCTTTTATTAGGGGTTCTCTGTGCTTCCGTGATGTGAGTGTCTGCTTCTTTCTCCAGATTGGGGAAGTTTTCAGCAATTATTTATTCAAAGAGACTTTCTATCCTTTCACCTCTTCTCCCTCTGGTACCCTTATTATGCAAATATTCTTTTGTTTGGAGTTGTCACACAGCACTCTTAGCATTCTTTTGTTTCTAGAGATCCTTTTTTTCCCTTTGCTCCTTAGTTTCATTGTGTTCCTGTCCTCTAATTTCTCATTGATTGTCTCCTCTACTTGCAGCAATCTATTACTCATTCCCTGCGTCATATTTTTCATTTCAGTTATTGTATTCTTCACTTCTCAGTGGCTCTTTTTCAACTCCTTGTGAAGTCTTCCTTGAGACCTTCAAGACTTTTTCTCAGATCAGTGAGCATATTTATGACTGTTACTTTGAAATCTTTATTGAGAAGATTGGCAATCTCCTTTTCTTTCAGCCCTCTTTCTGGTGTCTTATTCTGTATTTTTGTTTGTAACATATTCCTCTGCCTCCTCATTTTGTCAGGGTTTTGTTTTCTTCCTTTGTATTGGATGCATCTGCTATGCTTTCTGGTCTAGACAGTAATGACAAATTGCTTTTTTAAAGATTTCAAATTGGAATAAGACAAAAGCCTGAAAGATACCCCATAAGTTAAATGTTCCCTTTGAAGAAATTGCTTAAAGTTTAGTAGGAAATTACCAACATTTTTTTAGTGGTTTCTTAATGGTTTACTGTGCTCTAGTAGTCAGAAAACATCTCCAGGTATTGTCCTTCAAATCTTGCAATTAAATTAATGAGTAAGTGGTTCACTGCAAATTAATAGAAACTTAATTTTTTTTTTGTTTTACTTTTCAAGAAAAACTGTCCTTGTTCTTGGAAGTTAAGTACAGTTGAATTTGGTTTATACTGATGAGGCATTCCCCTGCAGTTTCCTCTCATCAGAATAATATGCACAGTGCAATAATGCAGCTACAGGAAAGATGGTAAAACCATAGACAGTTTCAAATTGTACATTTTCCAGCCTAGTATAGATTTAGAAATGTTTATTTCTTCTTATACTTTGTACTGTCCTAGTATTGATATACCACCTAGATTAGTTTTTAATTTCAAGAAAGAATATTAACTATGCTCTTTCTGCATTTTGCCTGCTGCCTTGAGAGTGCTCTGTTCTGATATGTGCATTATAGCTGTAAAAGAATCATCTTAAAGGTTTACTCTGGCCCTTATCTCTGGTGATGTTGTGTTGGTGTGTATATGAGAAGTACATTCTGCTTTCTCTGCCTCAGGAACTAGGCAGCTGTGGCTTTGAATACTTTGCTGAGTTCTTGGTTAATTATAGGGAATGAGCTGAAAGTCGGGCATTTCAGGATAGGCAGGAGAGATAATCCTGTATTATCTCTGTGGTGCCCTTCTATAGTCCAAAATGCCAGTTAATTTTTTTTTTTTTTTGGTTGGGTGGATCTTTTCCATCACAATTATTTTGTGATTTGAAAACATATTTGTGCCCTTGGTAATAAGTTGGGAAACTGAAAATTTGTATTTCTCTCCCCCTCCTGATAGGTGCTGGATAGTTTACTAGTCCAGTATGGAGTGGTGGAAAGCTGTGAGCAAGGTACATGTCTTTTCAGTTGCTTTCAAATTTGTAAAAGGAAGAAAATAGAAAGAAAACTAATATTTTTTTCCTTCTTCATTTTTCTCTTCCTCTAGTGAACACTGACTCGGAAACTGCAGTTGTAAATGTAACGTATTCCAGTAAGGACCAAGCTAGACAGTAAGCAGTTTGAAACATTTAATCTGTATATAATAACTAGGTTAAGTATAATAACATTTTGGGCTGGTGGGTAGCAGAAATACACTTTGATTTGCAAAGTTTGACCCTGCAGTTCCTTTTAAGTTTGAATGTCTAATAAGATTTTGCATTGGTTGAAGTTTTATTACACTTTCAATATATCTTTAATGCCAATAATAGATAATATAGTATGAAGTCGAATTACATCCTATTTGCAGAAAGCTCTGGTCTTGGATATGGTTGTTAAATTACATACTGACTTTTTTCTTATTGGTATGATATATACACAATTGCTGTTTAGCCAAAGCTGGTAAGTTGAACATGTGTTAAATTAACAACAGTGTTAAATGTTTTCTCATTTGCTGATTTTTCTAATGATTACTGTTATTTAGGAGTGGGCAGACATTGGATCAATGTAACTTGGTTTTAGATTGGTGGAAAAAATAAATTCCAGTTCTTTTGACTGGCAAAACATCACAGATTTAAAAAAATCTCCATAGGATAAGGTAATTCTGTGGCTTGGGAATGATCTAATGAAGTGATTGAGCGCTAGAGAAAGAAAATGAAGAACCCATGGATATTGCTTTTGTTAGATCTGCTCAGAACAACAGACATGGAGGAATGCCATCAAGATGCCCAGCAGCACAGTGCTGAGTGTCAGCAGACCATGGAAGTCATAACCTCCTCCAGATAAAGTACAGGCAGGGACAGACTATCTGTCCTGTGTGGCAAAGGTGAAAGGGAAGACCATGCTGGCTGATGCTGAGCCCTAACGGAGAAAGGTGAAAATAGCTGAAGAGGGGTAATAGAGCTAGTTTACCCAAGGCAGTACCCATTCATGGAGGGACTACAAAAAGAAAGCTAGGGCTGGGAAAGAGATGGAAGTTTGTTTTGCATAACACAAATGGAACTTTAGTTTTTAAATTGGTAATATTCACATGGTTCACAACTTTAAAGTTCCAAAGATGTATATAGTATAAATCTTCTAGTATTCTCCAACTGCCTTGTTCCCTTTCTTGGAGACAAATACATGTATATATTTCCCCCCCCTTTTTACACAAATGATACCGTAACATTTGAGTGCTGTGTGTGTGTGTATCTTAATAGTTATATCGAATCTGATTGTATGGATATGGAATGACCGACTTAATCCCAGGTTGGGTATTTAGGTTGTTTCAAGTCTCTTGCATTTATAAGAATGCTGTAGTGAATCCTTTTTGCATATCTCCTTTTGCGTGTGTTAACGGTTAAATTCTTTGAGAAGTATATTTACTGAGTCAAGATGTGAGTGTTTTTTAAAATTTTGTTGGATATTGCCAAATTATTCTTTGTAGAGCTTGAAGTAGTTTGAATTTGCTCAGCACTGTGTAAGAGTCTGTTTCTCCTTACTCTCCCTAACAGAGGACTTTATCAAACTTTGCTTATTTAGTAGGTAAAAAGTAGTAGCTAATTATGTTAATTTTTTTATTATAATTGAGAAAAGTCTTAGGAAGTGAGCCTCTTAGTGTGTTTAAAAATACACTCTTTTTCCTTCTGTTTGTATCCTTCATTCATTTAAAATGTTTTAATAGTTTATATGAGGTTTTTAGACAGTATAGAAAATATAATATGACTTGGAAAACAGATTTAAAAAAAATAAACTTGATTCTTCAACTATATCATATAAGAGGGAAAACAAGAATATTTCCCATTTTATACCCCAGGTAGTTTGGGGAGTGAAAGTGAGGGCAGTGAGAACACAGTGGCTCCATTTGTCTTTCATGTTGTCAGTCTTTACAAAGATATGAAGACTTGGTAGAGCCAACTCTGTTAAATGGAGAATATGGGATAACTTGATGAACCTAAGGATATTTGGAGATTGTCAGAGAGGCCTGTTCTAGTTGTCTTATTTGAAAACTTATTTGAAGCTAGCTAGGTAAAAGATGAAAATGCTTAATTTCATAGTTACTTAGTCATATGGGAGAACATGTTGGAGACTTAACTTACATAGTTTTGAGGAGATATAAAATGAACCTTAGTGGGCACAGGTTGACATTTTAGCATGCCCTACTCCTTAAAAAAACATTACACAATGTTGAGAGTACAAGCATGGGAAGGGCAGACTGGCTAGTCAAGGCAAAATTGTTGCTAAAATTAATCCTACATGACAGCAAGCTGAATGTAGAGACATTTTAGTTCTGAAAGTACTTTGTAGTGGTTGTTAGAGATTGCAGAGTACTACTGATCCCAAGGAGAGAAGGATACTGTTAGAAAATTTTAATTTAGATGATTAGGTAACCTACACACATAAACTGAGCATTTCAAGATAATACCTCTTAACTCCAATAGTCAGTGAGTTAACATCAAGTGTTGACCAAAAGTTGCCAGTGAATAAAGGCAAAGTCCTTGTCCTGAAGGTTGTGCCCCCACCCCCCACCCCCCCAGTGGTGAAAGAGAGTATTTGGGGAGAGATTGTCTCATTTTAATTCCTGCCCAGGTTGAGTTTTCTTATAGGAATATTGGGTTTTCTACCCTTCAAGAATTCCAGAGAGTAGGAGAATGAGATCATAATTGGGTATTCAGGGAGGATTAACAAATTTAAAGGATGGAAAATCAATTTTGTGATGCAGTCTTAGGAAAACTATTAAAAGTTTTCTAGTATTTTAAAAGGATGTGAAATGCAGCCTTCTATGAAGATAATTAATTTTGAGAGGCATTGGATGTAGAGGAAAATAATGGACTCTGGAAGTCAGTCAGTCAGCTCTAGCTATAACCTTCAGCTTCATTTTCCTCAGGCACAAAATGAGGGTTGACAGGAAACAAGTATATTCATGAATACATACACATACTTATAGAAAATGGACTGGCATGCAGACACCCAGTAAATGTAACTCTTGTTGAACGCTCCAGTTCTGGGCTGCTACCCGACAGCCTGAAATGACCAGAGCCAGGGGGAGCCTGGGTCTCTCCTGGACTTGCTACCCTGATGCCTGTAGCGAGCTGCTCTCTGGGGCAGTACTCTGCTGCCTGCACCAAGCTGGTGTGAGCTTCCCTGCCCTTTGCTTGGCAGTCATCCAAGGCCTGTATCTAAGGTAATGAGGGCTCAGTCCATATTCTCTGTTGATTTATTTTCTTTCCTTAGCATCTGTTCCTTGGGAGCCTCTGTAACCGCGATGTGCTTCTGTGGGTGCGAGTAGAGTTTGGAGGTTAGGAGGATATACTCCAGAGTCCAATTCCATGGGCACTGTGCCACCGCTGTCCTAGCTGTGACTCTGGTCGAAGTAATGTACCGTCAGAAGCTGTTCCACCCCATCTGTAAAGTGGGAGTAATTACAGTCCTTACCTCATGAGGCTGTTGACAGAACTAACACAATGACTCCCAAACCATTATCATAATACCTATAAGGTAGCAAGAGCTCCAGCCTTAGCAGCTGTTAGGCATTCTCTCAACATTTTTCATTGCAGTTAATAATATGTTGATAACCCTGTTGTTATTTCAGATAATGACTGGCCACTGATGCTCAAGGGTTAGGGACCTAGTTCAGAAGTGTTTGTGACTGTCTCTTTTGTTATTTAAACTTCTATGAATGCCACTTTTAAGATGATTCATCTCCAAGACAGAATTTAATACAGAAATACCTGCCGCCTGTGTCTAAGAAAAATCAGAAATGAATAGTACATATATCACTATGAAATGCTTGCATTCATTTTAACCTTAAGTCTTGAATTACTAATAAATTGAAATAATAGTAAAATGACTAAAAATAATGAAAAAAATAATTAAAAACAGAAGTATGTAGTATTTTTTGTTTTTTGGAGAAGAGAGGCTTGGGTCTCTGGAACACCTATATCCTGTCTTCCAGGGATGCTCTGATAAAGCAGTCAAGGACAGACATGACTCGCTGAAAGATTTGTTGTGTGACCAAGAAATAACCCTCCGGAATTTGTAGGCATTTAGGTTTATACTTTCTTTTCTTTAGGGTTCTTATTTCTGATTTTTGGTGGGGGAGGGAATTAGAATATAGTTTATATTTTGAAGCCATCATTACACATCCTTTATATCAGTGTGAAGATCCGTATCAGGTATATATATTTCTCTTGTAAGTGTTTGAAAAAACTTGCCTGATTGCTAATGGGAGGAAATTAATGCTTAAACTTTGAAAATTATGTGAACAGAAGATTTATCCTGGAAAAAGAAAGAACAGATAAAAGAGTCAGACAAAGAAATTTCTTGCCATTTGGCCAGATTTAACCACTGTTAAATTGGCCTTTGTTGGGTAAACTTTGCTCCATGCATCATAAATCTTAAAATGACAAAAGATCACTCTGTAGAGTTGTGGGTTGTCTTTCCGTTCAGTATATTTGTACTATTTGTAATGCCTACAGAGAATTTCATCCCTACCACAGTCTATGTATGTATCCAGGCCTCTACAGTGCATCTAGGTTGTTAGCAGTATTTTTGCTTTTAGAACCAGTTTAGTAATGAAGTTCTTTGTGGGTAAATATTTGGGCTTTGTCCATAAATATTTACTTCAGATGCATCCCAGCACAGGGGTCTCACAGGGTTTCAGTTATTATTGCAAACAACATACAATTCTTGGGATAAGGAAAAAAAGTGTTCTAACACTTTTGAATAATGACTAAACCTCATTTTGTTAGGACCTAGGTGATGTATACCAATGAAATCTGGGAATAAGAAAAATATTTTAGACATGGAATTTCAGAGTTGAATGGATTTATTAGACCATAAACCTAATCTTTTCGTTTTGTACATGAGGAGGCTAATAACAAACAAAATGTCCTTTCCAAGGTTACATGGTTACTTATTGTTCAAGCTGAGCTAGAATTCTGGTCTCTAGTCCATCTTTTTTTTTCACTACTCATCTGTACGTGTTTACCCTTAAATATGTGTAATTACTCTGGATCTCATTTCTTCTTTCTACCCATCTCCTCCTTTCTTGAGGTAAACTACTTATTTAATAAACTTCTTATCAATTCAATTA